AGGCTCGGTCCTTGGACCGCTTCTGTTTTTGGTCTACATAAATGATTTGGATCTCGGTGATGGAAATATCCTCGATGCGAGCCGAGGTCACCACCATACCGACATGTGAAACAATTACCATGTTCAAAGGCAGGTCTTGACTTTTAGCCAAGTAGTGTACATGAGGCATAAATTTTCATGTTTCAAGGGCATCTGAACCTTGAAACATGCATTTAAAAAAGGAATTCAGAGCTTCAAAGCCATCACACATAACATTGCTTGAAAAACAGCAATCAAAAACCTTATTTAGGGAAAGTTGATTAAAATCACTTAAAAAAAAATCATTTGATTTAAACCAGCAAACCCTGATTCAGACTGTGTGAGATAATGGCAGATGGTGCTTTTCTGCTTAGAAGAAAGAGTAAAAATGGTTTTGAAATAACCAATGAGTTTGACTATGACAAAGTGTTTATTTATAATATTTCCAATCAGGAATGTCACCCTTGGACCATAGCTATTAGCACTCCTAAGCCCGAAACAAAGAACTCAATCACTTTCCACATGGGTTCCAAACAGTGTCTACCAGTATATTGCACCAGAATATTAAATCTGAATGGCCCACAATCAGAACTTCCTTACAATCATCTGAAGCAAAAGACTTTCATAAGCCATAATTGTAATTCACACAATTCTTATCCCTCCACTTGTGCCTCATGTTAATCATAGAATATTTGCACAGCAACAGTCCAGCTGTCTCATTTAGTGAATTTTGGACTCTCATTGGAAATAAAGCAATACACATTCAATAAACTAAGCACAAAAAAACTGTCAGTATTACAGAATAAGAGCTGCAACAAATTGAGACCAAAACAATTCAACACTGAACACCATAGAAGGATCCTGAAATGCAACTATAAACATCTCTTGTGCTGTCTAACATGGTAATGTGAAATGAAGGTAGTCCTACTGTTTTAGAAACTATCATCCATATCATATCAATGGGTTGCACTGAATCATGCATATTGGTCATCAATCAATGCCCCAATTACTCTTCACCTTCAAGCATCTGATTCCTTGAGGTGCTCCAATTTCTTCAATTGCTCTGGGTCCAACTCCTCAGGAAGTATCATAGAAGCTGCAGATTTTGTGGGTGAATCTGATCTTTGAACAGGTATTATTGTTGCTTCTTGTTCTCTCCGAGGTTCTTCTGCACTAGCTTCCAGTTCGACAGCAGCAGAGACAGGTTCTTGGAAGAATACTTCTATCTCTGGCTTATTTTCACCTGATAATTGTGATTCAGCTTTGGTTTCAATATCTGCCACTGCTTCTGATTGCCAAGATGATGCAGAGTCTACTTCAGCTTCACAAGATTGCATCTCCTCTTCCTGTTCTGGTACCTCTGGCACCTCTGGCAGAATCTCATCCTCAGGACTGCCAACAGTTGGTGTTGCAGCAGTAATGACTATTTCAGCCACATCTAAATCTTTTCTGCCTCCTCCTTCAAGCTGGTGGTCATCCAGTGGAACATCCTCTATTCGGCTTTCTCCATCGACCTGATACAAACAACATTCAGGGATACATTCCAGCTTAGAGAGAAAATGAAACATTGTTGAAGAACCAAATATACCAGCCAGCACTTCCAGCATGACCCTTTGCATAATTCATATCACATGACAATACCAGTATCACAGGAATACCTTGCCTAGTATGTCACCTGAGCAAGATCACCACATATACAGAGGAACCTCTACTGGGAAAGGGAATGATGAATATCAGTGGAGCACTTACTGGAGTGCTTCCATGGCTGGACACCAATTCAGAGTACTCAATAGCGTGTCCTTCAGAAAGGCAGCAGTAGAAAAAAGCAGAAACCAGACATCTTGTTCAGCTTGCAAGTATTTGTTTCATAAGTATAAACATGCCATGCTATGGATCCACCATCATATCCAGTACCATCAAACACAACATTTTTTTAAATCATTTTTTTGTGTGTGCTTCATACAGCTAGGTGTTCTTCATGATCAGAGGTATTTCATGGTGCTAGAAGTGGTGCTCACAAGCATACTCTAAAACCATGTTTATAACTTACATCCACCTAACTTGCAATATGCATATGATCCACAGTTAGACCTTGAGAAAAATGGCAAATATCTCAATTTTCACAAACTATCATTTACACTTGAGTCTTTGAAGCTGTGCAAGATGCAATTTGTTATGTATTATTCTCTGAATGTCAGTAATGAGATGCCTGCTTATCAATCATCCTCTGAAGTATTATATGAAAATTACCATCTTATAGGAGATGATTTACATGAATGGGAATAAAAAAGAAATGAGTAATGAGCATCATAGGCTTTTGATTGATTAGCCAAAAAAACTATTTCTGGTTAATACATTGACTGCAATGTGACACACTGGGGTCACACTTGCCATAGGGAAGAACAGTGGTTCCAAACCCCTTGGCAGTCAACAAGTTAATGACTCATGATTATACTTCTTCCTTGTATGCAGAATCTGCAACTGGCAGAAAATCAGAATCTATTTCTAAGAATTTCATTGGCAATACACAGATTATGCATGATTTTTTAAAAGACCAGGTGAGGTATGGTGCATTTCTCTTTAGTCACATCAAATTCTGCTAAGAACACAGAATATATAGATTTCTTACATTAGATGTCAATGAGATGAAAAAAGGTATTCATTCTCTGCTCAATGAAATTTGCCAGGTTAAATTGCATTACTGGCATCACTATTTCAGCATGCACATGATGCTTCACAGGAGAATAGCATGAGCATGCAAAAAGCAGCCTGAGAGATGCATGTGATCAAGATTACAGTGTCATAAGGCAGAACATATGATACTTCACAAAATAATAGCCTTAGCATGCAAAGAAGCCAGAAAGATGCAAGCCATGAAGTGCTATCAGGCAGAACAAAAATATTAGGTCAGAATTTTGGAAACAAAAAACCTGGGCTATACCTGTAGCATCAGTGACATCGCTCTCTTCTGGGGAGGACAAGTCCTTTTGACAATGTTTCTTCAGTTCTTCACTAAGCTCCATTTTAAAATCACGATTCACGACACTATATGAAACCACTGTAAAGGAAATGGTATACTGTAGCTAACTACACCCCATAATCCCTTTCCTCAGAGTGAATCATATTTCCTTGAACAGCAATTCAAGAGCTAATAAGTTAATGTTGAATCATCCAAACCCTGCTACTAGAAAATCTATCAGATGACAAACATGACATGAGACTTGCTTGCTTCATGGGGTCATGCATGCAACTTTGCAATAGTAAGAGTCAAGGTCAGCCATCCAGGAATCATTATGCCTACTGCCAAATAAAAGGATTCTGGTCAACATGGATAGAAGGATGATCCCATATGGAAATGTGTGTTCTGAAACTTAAGAACTTAAGAAACAAAACACTGCCCAATATCTTCCATTCAAAATTCATGACTGCAGAAATAATGTTTGGCACACGATTAGGAGGACATATAAAGTCAAATCTTATATTCCTGTTATTTCTCCTATTATAGAGAGAAGGTACATGCTGAGTCTGCTGGTATGTTGGTTGAAAGCTTAAGATTTCCAATTTTGAAAGCATGTAATTTTGCAGACTTAGCAATGTCAATGCTCAGTTTCATGAGCTTAATGCCTCAGATTTCAACAACTTGCCAAAAGTTCATGTCAAAGGGAGGTGCCCTTGGACAACTTCTATACTAAATAGGACATGTTATGGTATTTGCATGTAGAAATATTGAGAAATCTGCCTAAACAAGAAAATGGAGAGAGGTCACATTATTAAACTTTTGAATTGGGTTTTTAACTTTTTTACCCTCAGCACTCATTTGATATTGCAGACCAGGGTTGTAAAAGACCTACAATAGGCCTTCCAAGATCACCATCATCTCCCTTTTTTTCAACCTTGATAATTTTGTCCTTTGGACCTCCACTGTCAGTAAAAACAGATTCAGGATGTGAGTGCTTTCTGGAGAGATCCTCATGGATATTTGGGATTAGTAATAGATAGATATTATGAGATGTCAAGTAGACATCATTAGGATATTCCCAAAGAGATAAGATACTGAAAGATATTAAAATTCCACATAGTGACTGACTGTTACTAAGAAGAAAAACCTTGTTCCCATACAGCAAAGAAAAAATAGAGCGAAATTTACTAAAAAAAACCTTTGCTCTTACTACTTGCTTTTTTCACAAGGCTTGCACTGTTCATAGTTTGATATGTTTAAAAGAGATTTGAGAAGTTCCATTCTAATTTATCATGACAAAGCAAGACTATTGGCAATTATTAAAAATTAGTTGGATATTGGAAATGGACAGGGCCCATGCTGGGAATTAAAGGGAGGAAGCACATTTGTGCTGTGGATGCATGTACAGAGACTAGTCACTTTGCAGGGACTGGAGTCCTCTATCCACTTTCATTTTGTTTTCAACAATCATTTAATTATTTATGAGCACAGGGGTGTCAAAGTTCAAGTACTCTTCAACAGTTGGTTCAAGGAAAGTGCTGAAAATCTCAATTTGTTCAAATTAAAAATTAGGAGTAAGATTTGTTAGTGTGGCTCCCAACCACCCTTGAAGGATTCAATCTGACCCCCAACCCAATCAAGTTAAACACCCCTGCTCTGGCAGAACAAATTTTCATGAAATTTGAAAGGGGCATTAGAAACATAGTCAATGCACTGTGCAAGTTCCATTAGAATGGTTCTGGTATGTGTAAAGATATGAAGGCTTAAATTCCTGGGTCTTTCTTTTCATCTCACTTTTCACCCCCCACTCCCCCCCAAGATTTCAGCACATTACATCAAAGACAGGTCTCAGGAATTTCTCTTCCTGCAGGTTTGAAGCAGACCTGCATGCTCAATGAGAGCAGGAGCTGAGAAATTCAAGATAAAACCTTTGACAGCGCAAAAAATACACAACCTGTACTAGGTGTTACCCCAGAATTTGACATAAAATCTCTAACATACACATATCATGAATCAAACTGAACAGCAATCATCCAAATCTGCCCATATAAGGTTCTCTTTAAATATTTTTGACTTACAAAATTCCAAGAATATAAAAATTGTGATGATACTTTCCCAAATAGTATGTATCAGCTTAAAACAAAAAACTCCATCAGGTTCATGAACATGTATATTTCTACATTCAGGAGGGGACTTTCCTATGGGATCTAATAGCAAAGACAGAACTTCCTTCCTTTTCAAGCCTGCACAGTGTGCACCAAAGCATGGCATCAGAGGATGCCCTCAAACAGAGAAAGAATTTGAGCAGTAAGAAGCACTTGCAAAGACATAGCAGATTCAAAAACATAGCTGGCCATGCCCTCTCCAAATAGTGATTCTTACTTAGATCTCAATTGATCCTCGTGCATGTTTCACCATATGCATGCAATCAAAAGATAGAACTCATCACCATGCCAATGATCTCAAGGCCAGCCTTGAAGATAGGCCTATTTTTCCTTAATATAATACTGTATTGAGGCAATATGGACTCATGTTCATGAACATTAAAAACTGTTCAATATAAATTTAGAGAACCAAGATAAGAACGAAATACTTAAAGGGAAATATTTTTCAGTCAAGATGAATGCTCTCAAGACTATTAACCCAAGAGTTACTATGTTTTTCCTCAAATTTCTCTCAGCAAACAAAACTCATTTTGTGCTTTCCAGGGCCAGTCAAAGTATGACTATATTGCTGCCAACAATTTTTGTGTCAGAGCATAATCACAAGTAAGTGGTTGTTACAATTCGTCACGAAAATACATATTGTACCCTTGTTACTATTCTCAATTTCCTGAGGGCAGAGAAAGCCTTTCAGAAATATAGACAAGTTTGATCAGAAAGGATTACATCTTCATAGTTTTTCATATTATGATACCAATGAAATTATGATTTAGTGCAAGCTCATCTCATGAGGAGTATTAACCCTTCGAGGAAAGGGTTTTTTTTTTTATGGCTAGATGATCACCCATAGTGAATACATGGAGGGCAAGAGGATGTTGGCCTGTATACATACAGGCATACTCGTCAAAGGGTTAAGGTCCAAGTAAGGATCACTTCATAGGGAGGGCAGGTCCCTCTGTGGTTCTGCATGGGTTACCTTTCTCATAGGTGATTCTTGAAACCAAGGTTTTGCTTCCTTGTTTTCAAAGATAAGATCCTACATGTTGTTCTGCTTGCACTGAAGAATTTTGGCTTTCTAGTCAGCAGCAAAGAAACAGGGGATACTGGGTACATTAGATTTATGGATTAGGTACTTTCACATCTTTAACCAGAGGAAGGAGTATTAGGTAGATTTCATTCTACAAAGTCAATATAATAGTATTTTGCAAATAGTCCAGTTGGAGAGTGCATGACAAATTTTGAATGAAGCTTTGAAAAGTAATCACTAAAAGCAATTAGGAGAGGCTTACAAGCTTGGCCTAATGTGGGCAGATGGGGATATAACAACTGACAATCAGGCACACAAAAGACAAACACCTGAGGCAATGCAAATATTAACAACAAACCTTCCTTATCCTTTGGTTCCGCAGGGAGAGTGGGTGGAAACTCTGTGTCTGGAGTAGGTTGAGTGATGATAATGCCATCAGGAGGAAGCAAGAAATTTGGGATATCAGGTGGAGAAAATGGAGGCGGTCCTGCTTCCACTGGACTGTCATTGCTCTCCTGCTCTCAGATGAAAAAAAAAGAAAGATGCATTAATTCAGCTTACAAAAGTTTCACTCTAATCAAAGATATATGAAGCCACAGACAACATATTCAGGAGGAGTGACAGGCTCTCCATCCCAAAGACAGTCCTCCACCAAGCATGATGGAAAAAGGCCCTCCTCTCCATCCAACTCTCCCTTCCACCATCCATCATCCATATCCTTATGTGGACGCCGATCCAGAATGCGAATTATTTGCCCATCATAGAAACTCAGCTCCTCTGGAGTCAATGCTTCATAATCAAAGATTGCCCGACAAAAATCTCCATCTGTCCAAAAAAGATTTCCTCCAATTTACAATATCATGATTCTCTAGAAATGCAAGAGCTTTAAGCCTTCTAGGATGCTATGAGTTTGATAAATACAAAGGTTATTCAGGAAATCCCTGCAAAAAGTTGGGGAAAGTTCTTTTCTCAAGTTTTTCACACAATATCTGTGCAACATTCACATCCAGCAAGATATCAGTAGGTCTAGATGAGACCCCTACATTGTGAACCCCTAGAGTTAGGCTAGTCTAATAGCCTGCAAAAATCTGTATAGTAGCTTTGGCCATATGTCAGATTGTGTGTTGCTTGAGTACTTTTTAGTACAACCTATACTAGGCCAGTATAAAGGTCCATAAAAAGCTACACCACCAAAGGAAGGTAAGACCAAAAGAACCTTATTTGCTGAAATATATAAAGTTTTTCATATATATATCAAATATATATATGAAAAAAATATACACTGTGAAATTGAAATTGCCATACCTAGAAGCAGTGGACAGATTCGTCTCAAGATCGGTATATAAACAAAGGGAGACAATAACAAGATATGATTCCAGTTGTAGCAAGATATCAGGTAACATGTTTATTGGTACAGAAATGAACTTACATGTGTTTGACATCAATATGTGGTATGACTGCTATGGTTGGCTATAACTGCAGCTACACGTCGAGGCATCAAGCCATACAGGCGTTGGATATCATCCTGTGCTTTCCTCTCAATCTATACCATATGTATCATGTGCCAGGTCTGGCACTTTAATAATTGGCAGTCATCACCACAACGTATGCACATGTCGCATTTCAGACTAATCCAACCACTGCTTCTAGGCAAGGCAATTTCAATTTCACAGAGTGTATATATGTAATACAGAGTGTCCATAAAGTTACTTCCCTATTTCAAAAGGCACTATCTCCATTACGGAGCAGCCTAGAAACTTCATGTTCAGCACATATGATGTACAGCCAATGGGATTTATGATCGTCAAGTTTCCAAAGGTTTCCAAAAAGTTTCTGGAAATCACCACCAGGGTGGTGCTTTCCTAGCCAAACTAGCCAAACACAGTCCAAAATGAGCACATATACCAATATCTGTATGGATGGCACGACCAAACCTGCAGGTATTTGATGTGGTCACCCCCTGCCACTACCACCGCCTCCATACACGTAATGAAGTGGTAGATGACAGAATGTAATTAATCAGATGACAATGTCAGAATCTGGTGCAGCATGGCGCCGCTACGCATTCCTTGAGCTCCATTAAGTTCGGAGGACAGCCACTGTAAACCCCACAGTCAGAATTCAGGAAACTTCACAGCCAGAAGTCTACAGGTGTAAGATACTGTGACCTTGCCAGCTAGGCCTGTGGGAAAGCCCTGCTGATCACAGTCCTGGAACGTACGTTGGAGAAGAGACTGGATGCATCCCCCAAAGTGTGGAGGGACCCCGTATCTCTGGCTGGTACAATGCCATCCTGGTGGTGATATCCAGAAACTTTTTGGAAAATTTTGGAAGCTTGGCTATAATAAATCCCATTGGCTGTACATCATATGTGCCGAATAAGAAGTTTCTAGGTCGCTCCATAATGGAGATAGGGTCTTTTGAAATAGGGAAGTAACTTTATAGAGACCCTGTATATCAAATATATCATGTTTTTCATTATGTTGGTCTGTGGATATGGTGAGGTGGAGTCATAAGGGTCGCTTTTTTGCTTTTTATATTTCTGTGTGGTAGTGGTAATGTTCCTTGGATAATCATTCTAATATATTACCATTTGACATCCACATTTGCTAAGGAATTGGCATATAGATTGGATGCATACTTTTTTATCATCAATAAGAATCTTTCAATTGGATTCTTGTATTTACAGAGACCACTTGAATGACATTATAGTTTCAAAAGGTCCCATTTAACTAAGTTTGGCATTTTCAGCAATTGGACATGAAAACTAAGTTCCAAAAACCCTTCATTTATGTCAGCAAACTATTATTCCTAGTACTATATGATTAGATAAGAGCTATTTCATTACTTGCAAGTCTCAAAAGGGCACACCCACAGGGAAAGATTAGTACATCAATACTTTATTTGTTAAAATCGGTTCAGTAGTTTTTGCTCCAAGATGGCATGGATCTTTGGTCATCAGAAGTGCAACACAGGATCCCTAACCACAAAGAACCAAAAGTATTGAATCATAAATGATAAAGTTAGTTGGGCTTGGGGAATGAAGAGACAAGGTTGCATTAGTGTGAACATGAGTAACAAGAGTGAAAGTTTTAGTGGAATACCATCTCATCACCACAATTCTTACTTCAAAGTTCTTTTGTGCCTCACAACCCTGGCCATTGGCAAACAATGATAAGTAGAAGAGCGCCCCAACTTCCAATTTCTGTGTTTTTCAAGCCATGTTCCATTTGAAAAAAATTTCCTAAAAAATTATTTAAGGATACTTTGGGATGGACCTTTGATGGTTCAACTTTCATCCATTCATGAATCTTGGCTGTCAATTTTCAGCCAAAACAATGAAATTCCTGTGAAAATTTTAGCATCTTTTAAATTGGGATCTACAGGGTGTTAAGAAAGTTGTGTCCCATTGCAATATGCCTATTACCTCAGCAAAAATTTAAAAATCACAAAATTTTTTTAATACACAATAACAAAGACAGTTAACTGATTAATAGTTTTCTCAATAGTTAATAGTTTTCAATATAGCTGCCCTTGGCATGGATGACAAGGTTCAGATGACCCATGAAAGCATTGACTGATTTTCGCAAGACTTCCTGTGGAATTCGCCACCCATTCTCAGTTCAGGGATAGCTTGAGAGAATTCAAAGAACAGCGTTTTGTAGCTCATACTTTGCTTTCCAAGATGGACCTAATTGAAAAATCTAAATCTGATTTTTTTTCAAGCCATTTTGCATCAAGGGGCAGCTTCTGTAATGGTCTGGGCTGGGATTACCACTTCTGGACGCACTCCACTAGTTTTTGTGCCTGAGAAGATGAAGGTCGACACTGAAGTATACCGGAAAAGCATCCTGGAAGACTGCCTGGTTCCATGGGCCACAAAATATTTCGATGGAGGCAGCTGGGTCTTCCAGCAGGACTCAGCACCAGCTCACAAGGCATGGATGACCCAGGAGTGACTGCTGACAAATATCCCTGACTTCATTTCGACTTCGCAATGGCCCCCTTACTCCCCCAATGTCAACCCCCTAAATATTTCAATATGGTCCATCTTGGAGAGCAAAGTGTGTGCTACAAAGCACTGTTCTTTGGATTCTTTCAAGCTATCCCTGAACCAAGAACGGGAGCAAATTCGACAGGAGGTCTTGCGAAAATCAGTTGATGCTTTCATGGGCCATCTGAACCTTGTCATCCGTGCCTACATTGAAAACTATTAGGTGATTCTAAATCAGGTTACTGTTCTTGATATTGTGTATTTAAAAAATTTCCTGATTTTTACATTTTTGCTGAGGTTATAGGCATATTGCAATGGGACACAACTTTAACACCCTGTACATGACCTGAAATATTATCACAGCTTAAAACAGGAAAGATTCAAACACTCATTCTGGTTGCTAAGTATCTTTGGCAGGTTCACAGTACCTGACATGCCAGTAAACCTTAAGAGGTTTACTGGCATGTCCCAACAAACATGACCGATCATAGATACCCTCACAGACGCTAGAGTATATTTTGAATTTTGTAAGATAAATGACTGACCAGCATTGATGGGAGGTGGAACTTTCTCATTGATATGTGCAATCTCTCCATTGAGGAGAAGAGCCTCATTCTGATCTTCAGCCTGCATTCCATTCATTTGGTAGTCAACAGATGAAAAGGAGGTCACATTGCCCTCATAATCAGCTACTTCAAGGTAGGTGCGAGGAACAAGACCCTCCCGTCCATGACAATCTCTGGCACGAACCCAACCTTCTCCTGCCTCTTCATCCACTCCAATCACTTCCACAATCTCACTCTCCATAAGATTCAGCTCATCTGGATTCTGAGCCTACAAAGTCAATAAATGGAAATAAGAAAATCTCACCATCTCTTCAGCATTCCTTCTGAAAGGCCTATCCCAGAGCATAGGTTACACTACAATTGAATGTTATCAGGCAGAGACATTAATTACTACCCATCATAAATAAAAGCAGCTCTGTATCATTTAATGCAGATGAGATTGATAGTTTCTCCCATGCACTCTGACTTACCTCATATGCAAAAACTGCAATGCATTTGATTGGAGTGAAATATCCACCATTGTCCTTGTCAGTGGGTACATTGCCATTCACCTCAGAGACCACATTGTCTAACTCTGGGCATGGGTCATGCCCTTTATCACCCCAATCTACTTGGGTTGGGTCTTGCCACTCTCTCTGCTGCCCCTTCATAGTGCGCTCTCTAAACTCCATCTCTGGAATATAAAAAAAACAGCATAAAGTCCCATTTGACTGAAGATGATATAGCATACCATGGGCAAGAGATGGACATAACAGCAAACAAAATTATTTGCAATTAGAAAATATTCAGCTCAAAAACTATTTCAAATAGAAAATATATTACAATATTTGACAAGTATTTTCAAAACAGTTTGCCCTAAAAGACTGGCATAAATTATGAACAGGAATATGTATGCTATTACTCAAGTGAATAAATCAGCCATTTTATAAAAAAAAGTTTAATATAGCTTTAAGAACTAGCAACAATTTGGAGCCATGAGTCAAGGGATTCCTTGTGAGTAGTGACAAATTCCAGGCAATCTCTCCTTCAATTGCGGCATCCTAGTGGGCATCCTCTTCAAGAAAGAATGTTTCAAGCCAGAATAAATATAGAGCTAGGACAACAACAACAACAACAAAAATAACTATGAACATGGCATATACCTCCTCCCTTAATGAAAAACATTCATGAAAACATGCTCAATAAACAGATTAATGTGTTCTCTTGAGACTTGAGAAGTTATGTGTGCTGGATATCCAAAACAGAAAAGACCAGTATTGTAATGCATATACCTTTTTTAAATCCAATAGTTAGCTCATTAACCTTTATTGGACAAAAAGGACAACTGCTGTCCCAAATGTATTTTTCCAAGGCTTAAAGATAAAAATTTTGTACTGCAACTCTTTGGAAAAATGTTCTGATACTATGTCAGTAATGGCTTCACTGTCAACAGTTTATTTCTAGAACAGTTACACTACTCAGCAAGTGAGTGCTTACAAGCTGTGCAGAAAAAATTCTGGCTGCAAGTACTTACATGCAAGATTTAAATCTGTACAATAAAGGTTAATATGGTAGAAGAAATTGAATCAGACCAAAAGTTTCCTTATCACTACATTCCAAAACCATCTCTGAAGTGCATTGAAGCTTTTGGGCCAGGAAGTTTAATTTAATTTAATTAAGTTTAGTTTAATCAACAAAAATTTCAGAAATCACAATATTCAATGATTTAAAAGTCTAGGAAAGCTGGAGGATGCTGCTTTGAGACAGAAACATAAAGAATTTTCTTGTGTGAAGTACAAGAACAAAAAGGGGTGGAAATCAAAAGGTGGACTATCCACTTTTACTACAAATTAGTGATACCTGCAAAGATGTGATCTCCACTTGGACATTGCCCAATTCGTGCAAAGCACAAACTCAATGGAATATCAAACTCCATGGTGAAGCCACAGTACAAGATGTAAGGAGAGAAAGGGGCCCTAAAATGGCTGAAAACACTCCTTTGGGAGCCACAATGAATCTCACACTTCTAGGGCTTCTCCTTCTAGTGACGTAAAAGGCACAAGATTAACACTTCGAGACTCAGCTGAATGGTGTGATTTAATCTACTATGTGTGATGCCTTGACTACTAAAAAAAAAAAAAAAAAAAAAAAAAAAAAAAAAAAAAAAAAAAAAAAAAAAAAAGGAACTTCTACTTTTTCCCCTAATAATAATACATTTTAATGATATACTCATACAAGATGGCTTCAAATATGAGGCAAGCTTCTAGCCTGAGGTAACTGTTTCTCCCAAGAGGAGTATCATTTCCACACAATGACTCTTCTTATTTATCAATGAATGCTCACAAAGGGAAGCAAGAAATAGACATAGCTATGGGCATTAAAGCCAAGTTTTAAAAACAGCAAAGTAACCCTTTTACTCTTTATCTCTTGTATATTTTTACCACTGTACTTATATGTGCACACTTTCACACTTATATGTAATGCATATATTTTTACTCTGTAATTGATTCACTCAATTTCAGCAAACAAGGCTTGATGTGGCTCACAACAATCACATCAAGTGTGAGACCAGTACCCCCCTCCCTATCCCTTAATATGATCCACACATTTATTCCATCTTTGGTCGAGTTACAATGTATGGAATAAACTCAAAGCCAAATTTTAAGACTGTAGGAAAACTATATGCTTTTCTATAAAAGAAAATTGTAATGATTTGACAAGAAACATTCATGAACCCACAGCTTAAGTCATTCGCATAATCATCACCAATGCACACTCACTTAGCTAGAGAAAGCTAATGCTTATGCTACATGAAGGCAACCAGTGCAAGGTTTAGTGTGAAAATGGATTTCACAATGCTCAAAGCAAGCAAATTCTATTCTATTCTATACATATCTAATTACCTATTTACCTAATTACCTATTTATCTAATTATCCATTTATCTATTTACCTATTTATTCATTCTCTGCTCTAAGTTTTGAATCAGGAAGGGAAGAGCAAGGTCCCTTGGCACTGGCCAAGGTACAATGGTTACTTTTTAAGAGATGTAGTTGTGATCCCTATTCAGAGAGAGCTGTGCATTCTTGCCATTCATAGGTCCTATTTTGAGACATAATCTGAAAGAGTAAATTTTTTTAAATTCTATTTTTTATTTCTAAGTTTCTCACTCCTACCATCTGCCTTCTAAAGGAAGAAATATTAGAAAATGGATATATCATACTAATTTTGTCAGCACAAAAAAAAGGAATAAAGCATGTCCTATCCTTCACTTTGTCTTGAAATATGCATGCATAAAGCAGCAGTAGGCAGGAGGGTGTACAGTGGGAGCTGTAACATTATCAGAACACTATATAACCAGATGGAAAGCTTTGCACAGGTATTTAATAATGGCCTTCATGGGTTAATCCTGGAAGTTTTGAAATCTACTTTGCCATTCTCAAGCTAATAGCACTGTGTCAGGCTAGTAAAACTCCTACTTTCCAGAGGTGAGCACATTTTACAGTTTGGCAAGAGGAAAGCAAAAAAGAAACAACCTCCTCTTCCTCCCCCAAGTTCTGTATACCACCCCTCTCTTCACCTTTGTGTTAGTTTCTCTTCCTATGCATCACCAACTGGAATACTGAGATGTATTCTTATACACGTCTATCCATACAGAAGTTTGGTTGGGGAGTGTTCAGAGAAACTTTTTCTAGCGGGTAAAAGTAGGCAAAATTTTCCAGGGCTGTACTAAGTATTACAGAGTACCATTGGCATTCAAAAGGCAGCATGTGTACCTTCTAGGAAACATCTCTGCAATTAGGGGATCAGCAACAAAATGGAGCATTTACCTCAACCAATAATGACTAGAACAGTACTATCCATCCAGGTCATGAATTAATGGCTTAGATGAAAAGTGCAGGAACCGGTGTATGGGAAAAACAAAGACACCAACCTCCAGTGATCATGTCAGGTTCTTGTTCCAATGACTCTTCATAACTCTGAGGTATGACATCAGATGATGTGATAGATGTTTCACGATCAAATGCTGAGTCTTTCTCTTGGACTTGCTGCTCAGTTTGTACTGTACCACCTCTATAATCCAAACTACCATCATAATCAGAATCATCAAAGGAATCCCCAACATCTTCATATACTCCTTCAACCTATAAGAATAGAAGAAATAGTCGTTTTTGAATGAATGCTTTTTACCTCCCTTTCAGGATTTTAGCCAGATGACTGTGGTATTCAGTCTACTACAAGTCATTAGGAAGTCCCATTTCAACAATAAATAAAACTTAGGATATATAAGTAATGAAGTAAAAAGGTAAAAGAAATTGAGGGAGTTGATGACAGTGACAAAGACTTTTCAATAAAGAGGTCAACCACAATCATCAAAATCCACTCATAGTCAGGTACTTAATCCCATTGAGTCCTTCTTTGTTTGATGATGCCTTCTCCATTGTTGCAATTCACACCTGAGACATTGAATTTGTGTAACAGTACTCAAGCAGTACTGATTGGTTTTGGCCTAGCCCACAGTACGTAGTTCAAGATGCCATTCTGTTTGATTTTTCCCAACTACATTCTTCCATCCAAACTCATCCATAGACATGTGCAGGACTGCGATAGCTTGAACAATGCTATGAATTTTTTCAAGTGAAGTAAGCAGGCCTTTTGGGCTTCACAGGCCTCCAGATCTTGCTGGTGTGCTCTGCCTTAGATCTGATGAAGGCATTATACACCATGGTGAGTTGTTGATTTCATTCCAGTCATTTTGAACATTTTCATTGGGTAGAATCCTTTCCTAATTTTGTTGCATATTCCACATGGCCCACCCAATTTAGATATTCTTAAATTTTCACTCCAATGTATTACTACTTTTTGGGTAGCTAACTATCGCTTGTCCAATTTCAAGGGGCATGTTAAGTGATCTTCTGTCAAGGTCCTCCTCCTGAAGTTGACCTTCAACTCCTGAGACTTATTGGATTCAATAGATGTCTTCTTCCAGTGAACTCCATGATGTATCATCTCCTTATGGTTCTGTAGACCTTTTATATTACTGATGGCCACAGCAACAGCAGTGTTTTCAACATACTTAACTAATTTTACACTTGGATGTTGTCTGTTGCAAATGTAAATGTCAGCAGTCCCAACACTGAGCCTTATCTATCTATGCCCACCACATTACTACAACCTGGCAGACTGCAATCAATACCGATATAACCAAAATATTAATTACTAAAGGGGCAATGAAAGAGGAAAATGGAATACCATTCCATAAACTTACATCACTACGCATGGAGACTTGAGACACTGATCTAGTCATTTCACCTGGGTCCAGGGATTCAGCGGCTGCAAAGGCATTCCTCAGGTATTCCTCCATGTCCACTGTAAAAGCATAGATGTAGGAAAGTGAATGAGAAACCACATATAACATTGCCAGTCATTCCATGATTTATGTGACTTACAAATTTAAGTGGCTTGGTTCAACTTTGGTAAATTTGAGCTGTTGCCATGTCATACTCTCATGATGTTTCCTATATAAATTTATGACTATGCATTTACTTTCTAAGTTCAAGGTCTCAACTGCTTGGAAACACTATTTTGGCTGGGATAATTATCATAACATCGCTATTTGTCAATGGTTAGAACTTGAAAATGATTCCTGTTAAATTGTGATGATTAAACTGATAACTCAGAGTTAATCATACAGGATGTTTTCTCAAGGGTCTATTAATGCTGATGATGAGTTGAATCCAGCATAATCTAAATTTCTCTAAAGACATGATCTGATTTCCTTTAGCCAACACATGAGCATAATTCTACTTAGATTGAATATATCCTAAGATGTAATTCTGATTGGTTGCATATCCATGTTTTCTGCTTAACATTTCCTAAGTAGCCTGCAACAGCTAAATAATTATTCCTTCCTAGAGTGAAGCCAATTCTTCTTTTTCTTAGATCTTCAATCAAGTCTGAACAAGGAATTTACTTCAATACTATTTAAAAACTACTTCAGCACATTATTGGTTTTTGCATGTAATAATTAATGTTCCAAAAAATTTTCTGTAAATATCTATTGCAACCGTTTTAAGAATCTCCATAATGGCACACCAGATAAGTCACAACTCTCTTCAAGTTCTAAAAGTTCATGTAAGAAACCCAGCTCTCCAATTTGATAACTCAATCCCATACTGTACTGCAAGCCAATTCCCACTTCTCTTCCCAACCTTGCTTCCAGATAAATGAGTAAGGTCAATTAACTGTTGCTTTCAAACCTTGTTCATGCTATAGGTATATTTGCAGCACAAATAGCTTACTTAAAGCTTATAACTTAGTATCCCCCCCATCTTTCTTCAATGTGGTGCTGTCACCTACTGAATTCTACACAACAGTATTGAGTGGTGCATTGAGTTCTCTTCTGTTGTAGCACTTTTCCTGCATTCTGCAACTGAGAGTAGAAAACATGTCAAGATAACTATCCATCCACTCTTTCTTCTGAAACCTTGATATTCTTATTCTTTTTCATTCTTATTCATTCTTATCCATTCTTTCTTAGAAGGTATAAAAAGGAACTTATTTCACAGATGTTCTGCATTTGTGCCTACAAGCCAATAAAGAAGTTAAATTAATTGACACAGTAACAATGCAGTCTGTTTTGCAGTCAGCAGCTGTGAGAATCCCAGTTTTTCTATTCTGCTATTGAAGGTCATGCTTTTCTTTTTACTTTAAATGAACCTGGTGAACTGCTAGTGATAAAATCAGCTTTTTGTAGGTGTCCTTAGTTGGTTGCACTCAAGGTAATGAGGCCCCATTAGAGTGGGAGACTTTGGAAATGACCATGAAGTAGATATGGCATCTTAAGTCTTGGGAGTTCCAGTCCTTTACTCTGTTTGCTTGGATTCAGTTTCTCTCATATATATATGACGGGTGTCTGAAAAGTTTCCGTACACCTCAAATAAAAACTAAGCCAGTTTTCTTCACTACTCAAAATGGGTACACAGAAACATCACGCCTCCCTTAGCCCTCAAGATAATCAGTTTAAATCTATGCACTTCTGTCTGGCGGGCAATGATTGTATTTCCATTCTGTAGAAGACTGTTACTAGGACAAGGAACTTATCCAGGTTTTCTGGTTTGCTATTTTCAACTAGCCTGAAACATTTATGTCTTGCAGTCAAGTGTTTAAAGCATCCAAAGATGAAATTATGTTCTAGTTTTTACATTTGTAAGCCAAAGTTGTGTCTCATTTTGTAGCAATGTTTATGAAAGATTAAGCCCCTGAAAACCCTGCACCATATTCATTCAAGCTCTTGAATGAATATGGTGCAGAATTGAACAAACCCAAGTGACATGCACACAAATTTAATTTCATAAGGTTGTTTTTGCCATAATTATGGCCAGTATTGCACAAAAGTGAAATGTTATACTTAAGCAATGATCTTAAATATGAACTAAGTATTCATGCTTAACACATTGACTGCCAAGGCAAAATTTTTTTAAATGTCCAAATGATGCCAAAGCATACTGATGTAGTTCAATAACTAAGGCTACTGAACTAGAGGCAATCACATGAACCAATATCTGAGTATAGGAGAGTGGACACAGGTGACCTCTGTGGCAGGCAGGGAAAGTTTACAAAGGAGAAACTAGTGGCATACACAGCAGTCGATGTGTTAAGGAGAACAACATTGCATCATAAATAGGAAGTGAGAAACATATGAACCCTGAGTAGTGTTCCTTTCTTTACATCACATAGAATATATTGGGAAATGAACCAAGGAGGAATTGACCAGTCAATTAAAAACCTGTCAGTCAATTAACCTATCACTATGGTCATTTATGGTGACTTTTTGTGAATAAGGCCTATTCTGGTGTGATTATTTCCTCTTGGGTTTTCTACTCCATTCAGATGCCATGACTTATGTCACAACCACAATTTCCCTTTGAGATATACTTTGGGATAAGGACTGTACAGGTACATGTTGAAACATTGTAAACAGTAAGGTTTCATAACAAAATTTAGCATGCTTTCTGCACATGTTCTTGTGAATTTGTTAATGAAACCAGCCAATTAAAATTATGCTTGCAATAGCTTAGCGAGAAGAAAGAGTGCCCTGAATGACTAAACCTTACCTTACCAATTAGCATTATGGGTATTGCCATTCCATTCCAAATAATTATATTCTGCTCCATGGACAAAACTTTTCATACAGGGTGATATTTAAAACAGTTCCTAGTTTTCAATCCACATAAATTTTATTATAATAGCGTTGCAGGAACCAAGTTTGCACAGAATATGAAAGCAAATGAGATTTGTGTGGGTTCAAAAACATGGATGATTCTTGTAAAAAAATTACTCTAGGTGGCAGCACTGAAGCAATATGGTGCTGTTCACAGTGGAGCAGAAATTGTTCATTGTGAAATGGTACTAAAAGCTAAATGAATCACCTTTAAGCTTGCAAAGACAGAATTGAAAGCTCTTTCAGACTTGGAATGCACCATCTATAAAGACTATTAACAGCAATTTGAATCAGAAGTCAATGTTAAAGACTGTCGAAAGGGCCATTCCAGGCATCCCATCATAGCACATACCCTGCAAAATATCACTCTTGCCTGACAAATGTCAAATGTTTTTCTTCAGTCCCAAAAAGAGTCATCTCTCCATTTGTGCTGTGTGATTAATGAAAATGGAGGTCACATCGGACATGTCATGTTCTAAACAATGAACCCACATGAATCTGCCATGTCTTCCACATTATCTATGCAAATTAGACCCCTGCAATGTCATTATAATAAAATTTATGTGAATAGGGAACTAGGGACTGCTTTAAAAATCAACCTGTATATTCATGGCCACTCTGACAGTATACATCCAAGGGTAACTCACATCCTCCATCTCGAAGTGCATCCTTTCTTGCTTCTGCTTTTAGTTTGGCTGTCTGAAAATAAGCATACCAATTGGTTACTCAATCGTGCTGCTACAAAACATATTCCCGCATTGCAATTAACACTTGAGGCTGCCCATGAGTCAGAACCTTAAGTATCCCAAAAAATAATAAAAAATACAGTTCTTGCAGTTAGGTGGCCCACTAAACCTATATTTATGAAGACCAGACCTCTGCCCGCCTCAGATTTGACTTGAGATTCTCAATTTTTGTGTCAATGTCAGGGCCTTGCTGATCATCAGGATCAACCTGCAAAACCACACAACCAGCACACCAGATATTATCCAATTTACTGAACACAACTGCAACATCATCCCAATTTCCCTTGCTTGGCAGTGAACTGACCTTTTGACCAGAGTCTTTCAGGGACTGATAATAGACCAATTTTCTTTGGCATTCCTTGATGGTTTTTGTCTCCCTTGCTATACGAGTTGAGAAAGTTTGAGCTGCTTTCTTCAACATCTCTGCTGCATTGTTGTCCTGCTTCACCACATGGATCTCATCTCCATCACATGGTTCAAATTTGTAGTCTGTTCTGCTTACAAGAACAGGATACTGCTCCACATAACACTGCCAATTGTAGTCTCGGGTGATCTGGAATTCAGGCATCAGAACTCTCAAGTCATGAATGGGTTAAAGCATGATGAAACAAGTGCTGCTTGAGTCAACAGTACAAAGAAGACAGGGCAAAAAAAAAAAACCTTACTGTCTGTGCTTTGTGCTGCACATTGGAGAAGGCCGTCTCAGCAGCTGCACAAGTGACAAGTTCAGTTTTTCCAAACAGAATCAGATACTCAGCCACTTTCTCATAAAATTTACACTCCATTGTCTGCAAAACAACAAAGTTCACAAATGCAAAAAGGATCTTAGGTTTATGCAAAACCTAGCTCATAATTCATAGAGAAAAGTGCAAAGAATACTCACATGAATGAGGTGGGAAAGGTCTATGTCTGAGACTCGTTTCTGATGGGCATTAGCAGCAGCCAGTTGGAGGATGTAATCATTACGTGCCTGAGTCGCCTTCTCATCACACTGATCCCTCTTGGCAGAAAGCTGTAAAGACATACTACCTTATAAAAGTGTGTCAGGCTCATAAAAGCTCTCAAGTAAGAGTCCCCATTTTTCAGTTAACTTGTAAACTGGTGACTGATGTAAATGATCTAGTTACCTGACTGTCAATCCAAGTTCAAGGAAAACTCTCAGAGGTGAAAAAACTCTTTGAAAGTAAACTCATAGGAAGTGACCAAAGTCATCTCTTCCCAATAACTCAGTCATAAATTTCTCACTGCAAATGACCTGAGTAAAAGGATAATAGAAAATTATCCCTTTCTGGATGAGTTTTTGATGACCCATATATATATCATCCTGAGAATGAGACAGGAAATAACTAGACATGACATGAGAATAGTGGGTTACACCAGATGGAAGTGAAAAGAGGGAAGAAGAGCAGGAAGGTGAAGAGTCCCATTTCCTTCCTGTGATATATACAGACAAGATGAGAGTGAAAACCCTTTGGAAGTTGGATTGAAACTCAAGAAGCACATCCCTATATATTGCGAGAGCAAACCAAAAATGGATCAGAAATAAACAAACAAACAAATTTAGGAATGAGAGAATTTCTCAATTTCCCTCTCTACATGGAAAATGCAAAAAAAAAAAAACAAGATTGAAAGGGGACTTGGGATGAGAGAGAAAAGGGGCCACATATGGGTATCTCAATTTCTTTGCATTTACTGTCATTGGAGAAGCTCTTTGATTCCACATCCAGAAAGCATCAGCATTTCTTCATATCAGTGACTGGAGAGGAGAATGTATTGTAGCAGTTAATCAAAATCAACTTTTAGTTACCAATTATAAGAGGTTGTTCAGTGAATCAGTTACACAGTTTACAGTTGAAACCCCTACTCTCAGGTGACATTATTTCATATTTCACATTGGTTCAGACAGCAAACAATGCTTTCAAGAAAGAGTTAAGCCACTTCATAATAACAATAGCTGAAGATAAAAGCTCTCATGAAGAAGATAAATAATATGAATGCAATTTTCACCTGTGAGATTTGATTTTTAAGCAAACAATCCAGTTTCTCCCAAAATCCTTGAGATGGGAACACAAGCTTGTTTTAGCCCTATGAACTACAAATACCATGACATCACTCTATTGGCCTCTGCAAATCCCATTATGACTAAACATCAGGCCTAAATTCTGTTCATGGTAGCCACCTCATTACAGGTGACTCGTTATATGCAGGGGTTATGTTCCTGAAAATCACAGCGTATATCGAAATCGCATAAAATGGGAGGCTAGTGGGATAGCAGGTGACTATAGGGATAGTGATAGTCTTCATGCACTGAAATGAAACCACAGATATGTGAAAATGCAGATAATGATAGCGCATATAACGAGAGTCACCTGTATTTTTATGCAACCTGTCTCTCTAGCTTGATGTTGATTTGACAGGGAGTCATTGATATGAGAAGATATCCTTCCAAAATTGGATCTGAATTGCAAAACAAATTTTCCTCACTCTTCTGACTCACTTTTGCATGACTTTTTTGGAGGGATGTCAGGGACTGGAAGAAGTGTCCCTTTTTCCGTTTCAGTCTTCCATGTGAGCAATGAAAAGAAAACATAGGTTACAAATATAACTGGAACTTCACAGTTATCCTTTGCTCTGGTTACCATGAAGGATGATGTTCCCAAACAGCACCCATACTGAATAGTCACTTTACTTTTCATTTACTCACTTTTCTTCAGCATCCATAGCCTTGGCTCGAGCATCATGGGCAACATGTTCTTCATCAAAGTAGATCTTCTTGGTTTTGTCAAGCTCTTGGATGCAGACAAGTATCTCTTTGTGAATAACTCCTAGTTGATCAAGACACTAAAGGAGAAATCATTATCTATGGCATCAATGATGGACAGAAATTGTGGATAGATGGTATCAGGACCATTAGAATTGCCAGTACTCATGAATCAAGTTCAACAAGAGGTCTGACCATTACCTTCTTGCCAACAATGAGCTTTTGACCCCTGACATTCTTTGCATCATCAGAAATCTGAGTTTGAAAAACTTCCACAGCAGCCAAACGTGTCTTTGCAATTTTCTCTGTCTCGTCCAGGAGAGTCTTCCATACTGAAAACACATTCCTTAAAGAAAAGATTAGAAGAAGAAAAAATTATTCCATAGGTTAAAACCCTGGAAGTTGAGAATAAAATAATAATCCTCACCACTGACTCCTCTGTTCCTCTTGGCCTAATTCTGGAAGGTTCACCAATTTCTTTCCAAGATATGTAGCAGAGAGCTTCAGCAGACCCTGTAAGCATATTCAAAAAAGATTATTTAATTCTATATTACATGGATTAATAAATACTTTTAACATATTCATGGTGACCACAATGGAAAACAAGAAGCACCACCTGATGTAAAATCCCCTAACTGAACAAAAGAGGATAATGCCTGTTGCCTCTAAGCAATACTAGACATTGCCAGTAGCAGACATAGTCAATGGAGGTAATTTCAACATAAGAACTTGTGTGATTCCTTGAATTCACATTTGAAAATATAGGATTGATGCTCTACAACAAGTTGGAATGGTACATTCACCATCAAGTTACAAAAGTCAGAACATCAACTTACTGCTATTAAAGCCAAGCTGACATAGGTATATACTACAGTCTGAGGGGAAGATTTGAAATGCCTAGTTGAAGATTCCTTTGTCAGCCTATATTTAGAGAGGGACAGCACAAAAAGCATAACCTTGGATCCAGTAATCAAACTGCATGAAACTTGGTTTCATTTACGTTCCACCAAAACAAGACTAAAAGCAACTATTCACCAGAAATTGGAATTGAAAATGGACCATAAAGAAATTGACAGGAAATAAAAAATGGTACAGGCCCTTCAAAGTAACAACACAAAGTGATGAGTCACATTCAACCAACAAGAGGTTGAGCCAAAGAATGACTTTCAACGGATGAGAAATCCAATGCAGTCTGGATGGTATGCAATTACGGAACAAAGAATTTCCTCAATGCCACTGAAACAAGCACTTGTCCATTTCCAATATGCAACTTTTTTTTTAAATAGATAAAGTTGGAGCATAGACATACAAGTTAAAAGTTGTTGGCTGTATTTTTGCCACACCCTGTATGCCAATGTTGGTGAAACCTGAATAGTATCATTAGTTCATTGTAGTTCACTGAACAAGTAGTACACATTTCATTGTGATTGCTGAAACCTCACAAATATTAAGCAAGTTGTTAATAAAATCTTGACTTTCAGGAGGAAAGAAAAATGTTGAGTTCAAACTAGAAGGACCTGGTCTTTGTGACTTTTTTAAAACTGATTTCCTACATTTTTACTTTCTAGGAGCCCTGAGGCATGTAGGTTTCACATTCCTTCCTAGCCTTCTCCTTCTCATTTTTCATGTTTCTTGGTATTCAAGTATGAAGTTATTTCTTTCACTACTTTATTGAAATGGGATTTCACACCTAGAAGGGATTGCTTGCTACATTTATGCAAAGCCAGGGAAGCAGTCTCTTGGAAATACAATAAAAAGGATAAGATTTTCCAGCCATGACACTTCATATTCACTACACAAGCCATTCTTCAAATATTTCATTCCAGTCCAATAGACAAGATTCAGAAGGAAAATTATAGTAAAGAGCAGGCTTTCTGAGAGAAATACCTGCCTAGACCATGACTAGGACCATCAAAAAAATTTAAATTAACAATAACTATTGTTATTTTTGTCAACTGTTGCACATCAATGAAAAGTAAAGATTTTCTCAGGATAAAGAAAATTATTTTAATACAAAATATTGACTTTAATTGTAGTCTCCCATTAACTGAATTAAAATGTGATTGGACAATGCTTGCATGGTAATGTGCAAATCATGGAATATTAGGAAGAAAAACTCACCTCTGCATATGACTTTTCCAAGGCTGACCTCTGCCTGGTGAAATTCCTGAAAATGTAAATTTTGACAAAACATTGAATTCAAGATGGTCTCAGTAAGAGGTAGGGGATGAGAAGGGATGAGTGAATCCCTTTCATTATTATCCCTGCATGGCCATCAAAGATCATAAATAAATTTAAAAAACCCAAATCACTGAAACTACTTTGAAGTGGGGTACTATTTTCTTATTTGTGTGGTTGAACACTTTATACACATCTAGAAAGATCATTTAAACTTTAAGATAAAAAAATATAAATTATGTGTAACATTTCTACAAAAGGATAATGAGTGCATTTAAAAAACATGAATTAGTGCATACATCGTTTTGGGACACTACATGTGGGGCATTGCTACTTGAACTCTTTCATCTTTGACCAGAAGGCCTTGCAGCCTAAAATTTAGTTTCAAGTCTGTGCTAATCTGAGTCACCTTACTCAACAACATCTAACATCAATCACCCCATATTATCTCCAAAACAAACTGGCAAAATTCATCATACCTTGTCCCTCAGCTGGCAAGGATTTGAATTTTCGCAATCTTCATTTATTCATTGTGTCCACCATGAAGTCAGAGTACAAAAAGTTAGACATTGTTTGCTGAATTCAACAATGACTTCCTCTCAAATGTGGAATAGACAATTTTTCACATATGGGATGATGTCAATATAACTATAATTGTATCTTCATCTAGTGTAAGTTATAAGTTATAAGGGCAATTGACATGACCTTAGCACATAAGAGCTCCAACCGTTTGAGTAAGCCCCAGAGTTAAAGTAGCCTGGCTACATGTCTTGAGGGGGTACAAGTAATCTGTTTTAATAAATTTTTAGCATATTCATTCAACTGCTAATCAGATATGGGATGGACTAAACTTTCACGAACATGCTGAATTCCACCAAGTATTAGGCCTAGAGCTATGCAACACATAGCCTATGTATTACCTAATGTCCTCAAGCAGATCTGCTTCATTTGCATGTTTGGTCTGCAGCTTTGACATCTGCTCATTTTGAATGTTCTTGAGTGCAGGTGCATACTTTCCCTGTGAAGTAAAAAAGACTTGAATTTGTATGGTGAGACATCAGAGAGCAAGGATACAGCTGAGTCTACCATAGTGTAGAAGCAATTAGCATGTAGCCTAGGCTTAGGCCTACAGCATGCCAATAATAATCTAAACATTAGGTTACACCAAGGTGTAAAAATGACTCACTTTTCGAGAAGGCTGTCGAGTGATCAAAGCCATCGTTCAATCTACTGCTTTGGCAATTAATCCTCAAAGGTTAAACTCAATCCAACTTAACACCACTTTATTTAGCATGAACAAAGTAATTCCCACACCCAGACCAGATAGCTAGAAAAAAGGAAAACAATTGGTAAAGTACCAGAGAAAAATTATCAGAAGAAAAATTTAATGTCCAAAAGCAAACCATATATGAGGGGAGAGTGGGCCGTTCTTTTGCAAAATCTTAAATAAGCCATGTGGCCTTTAATTGGATTCTTTCAATATTGGAGCAATTACGAGCTGCTGAACGGGGGACCACTGACTGATGCGTAATAACCAACTAAGGCGGAACGAAATTACCAACTCTCAATAAAGCACCCAAATGTATATTTTTCTTGTAGCTAAGTATGAAGTATTTAACTACAAAGTAAATAGTGCCAGTGCATAGAAGTTTTTGAGTATTTTCGGAGGATTGTTTATTTAGGTATAACTACACAATGAAGCATTATAAACAGTTATACCTGTCAGACCCACCCACTGCCGACTGTAAGAAGTTAAACAGCAAGATCTACCATCAGCCCAACTGTACGTTGAAAAAGTTAAGCCAAGGCGTCCCAAAGATACCTCAGCCCGCAGACTCTGGCTGCCACTTCAGAGCCTCGCAGTCAGATGATCAAGCAAAGCGCCATGATGTGATATCGATTTCATACAGTACACTCTTATGACATCTGTAGGGAGCCTCTGAAGCTCTTGCAGTTGCGAAAGTGGTAAAATACTGTACAGTGGTTTTCCTTGGATTTTTACACGATTTCTTCGCTACTTAAAATCCCTCTCGTGACTTGCAGAAAACCTTGCCTGCAACGTATTGAGGGAATCCGATCAAAGAAGCTGGGTAGATTGCCTGCTCTCTATACGAAAAGGCTTTTTCCGTGAGGAATCGCACAAGGGAATGAATTGAATGATTTTTAAAGAAAAAATTGTCTCATGATTCTGATAACTGAACATGGGAAGCCGCATTCTCTTCCAAGTAAGGAATGCATATATAGTGGGGGGGGGGGGGGTTTCTAATGACTTTCTCCCACCCTACCCTGTTTCTGGCGCTGTTGTCAACTGTACTCCAGAGCCCCTAGAGAGAGAGGCAAACCAACTTCTCCCATCCCCATGACGCAATTTTTGCTCCGGCCTGCCCCATTGCCTTCACGCTCCCTAACGCGATTCTTCTTTTCAGTTGCTTGGCATCCACCACCACCATCACAAATCACTGCATATCACAAAATAGCTCATTCTATCATCACTCATTTAGTGTACAATAAATGTGGTTTCGCGCAGAAGCCTCGGCAAGGCGATGGAAATGAAGTGGATGGATTATTCAAAGACACATCTAGGATTGTCAGATGGGGGGGGGGGGGGAAGAATTAGTTCCGAAATTTGTTGAAGGGAAAGGGGTGGTAACACAAGCAAAATGAGGGATAACTCATTTTCCTTTCCCCATACTCTTACAGTATGGTGGCTTGAACCCCCAAATCCAGGAGGTCGTTCATGTAGAGAAGCTCGAAATTAGCAGCCTTTCCCACTTCTCCCACTGTTCAATATTCCATCATCCCTCTTATCACTTCTCCTGTATCTCCTTACCCTCCTCCCCCTCTTAATTTCTCTTCTCTATTCATCACTTCTTTCCTTTCTTTTTTCTCAGAAAAAATTCTGCTTCGAGCACCTTCCTCCTTTGACTATTTTGACTATTGGACTAACGGACGGTGAATCATTCTGTTTCCTTCCTACCATAATTATTGCGGGCTGTTAATGCCTATTATGTAAAAAGAGATTGGCAGTAAAACGACTTCTTTTGAAAGTTCATATCAGTTTATGTTTTTCTCACAGAATTCCCAATTTGGGTTGGCTGTTGTGTTTTCTAGGATCGATCACAGTCCTTCATGGTTACGCTATAATAGTCGAGATAGCACGAGATAGCACATCTTACCTAATTCCTCATGATTTCCAGGTTCTTTTTGCTTTCACCCTTTCCATTCTCTTATTCCTTTGCCTAGATTTCTTTCGGTTATCTATTCGCCGTGATTTCGATATTTTCTATGATGTCTACTACATTCCAACATGGCTCTGAGAAGTGGAAATAATGATTTTGGATATTCGCAGGCAATTATCTCGAAGATCAATATGTCATTCTACAACGGATAGTGTCATAATTAGGGCAATAAATTCCATCTAATCCAATACCTGAAAATGAGGAAGGTATTCGATCCCTTTCGAGATGGCGATGGAACCGTGCTTGTGCATGCATGCCTGATACAGGGTTGAGGAACAGCTGGTAAGGCTGTGGTGAAGCCGAGTATCGGCCGCACTGCAATCACCCTCCAACTAAAAGTTCTTCCTTTATTTTTCTGCCGAAGGTATTTTAAAGATCCATTATTCCTCACGGGCGTCGTGTTAACAAGTCATTCCCTCTGTGTAATTTTTTTTTTTCACTAGATGCACACTTTTAATCCCTTAACAATATCCTGGGGTGCTGAGGAAAGGTGCAAAGAGCGAGGAGGGGGTTTAGCGGGCATTTTGCAGTGCCAGCTTGCCACTGTCCATAAGCGTAGCGTGGCAGGAAAAACTGAGTGGGGGGGAAGCACAGTAACTCTGGGACACGATTCTCAAGTATTTCATATATCTTTTCCTTCTCACTTCGATTCTTTTTTTTCTAAGTGGAGAAAGGGACACGAACCTTCCCCCCCCCCCCCCCGACGCTACGCCGCTGACGCTGTCCTTGCCCCATGGCTTTGTGGGAAAACAAAAAAAAAAGGTTTCTTCTTTCGCTAAGCTCGAAACTCACAGCACAACCGGCGTACCAGCGTGCCGCGCGCGGCACAGCAGTTTAGGAACGCTGGACTAGACAGATCACAATTCTATGTACTGAGTTGAATGGTTAAATAAGTTCCTGCTTGTGTTTCCCGGTGTCACCAAAATACCGCGACCGAGCACCTTCAGTCGAAGGATTCAATGGCATCGTGGGCTATTTTCATCGTCTCACCATCTCGCACTGCTGCAAATTCATTTAGGTTTAAACTCTCAAACGATCCAAATCCCTTAAAGGTTCCATAGTTATCTTATTATTTTTTACTTTTTTATGTCAAAAAAACCTATTTTGGATGTTGTATGCAATGACCCCACAGTAGCTCAGTTCCTTTGGGCATTCTCCTTTCTGACTCACGAGGTGCGAAATGCGCAGTACGCCATCTTTTCCATTTTGCCCGAGAACTGCAACAAACTTATGCAATTGCACAGATACGAAATTATACAGCCTTCAAAAGATTAGATGTAAATGCGAGACTTTCTCCTCATTGGCAGCACAAACCCAGATAATATTGATTCCTGGGATAACTCATTCCTCTATCTAGGTGGAATCATGCAATCCGTGATTCAGTATCATTTGGAAATCACGAACATGCACGATCATTGCGACCGTGAATTAAACTCATGTAAAATCACGCGTGATACCGATAGAGTCGTGTCACGCGTGACAGACGACTCTTACTCTCCCGATCAACATGATAAAAATTAATATTTCCTTTAGATATTGTATTTAGATATTATATTTAAAAAAAGGGACATTGCAAGAAACTGTGCAGTAGCCGGATGGCACTTTATTCGTGTGGTAGTTACTTGTTCTAAAGTTCTCGTGTGGAAAAATCAACACGTTCGAATTTTCAGAGATTGATCCTGCTACCTTCCAGAATTCGTGGAGCACTTGGAAAAAAAAAAACCCTCTCGTTTGGGACCGATTTTGAGAACACTGAGTACCTCCACATAGCAAGTTAGGTCGTGCGACGACCGAACAGGGGAAATCAGCTCTAGGACAAGGACAATAAGGAGGTCAAACTATATTCCGGTTTCTCCACTATTCCAGGAATAGCGGCATGAGAATATGAAATTTCGTACGATTCCAAGGGTTCGAACTCTTAAGAAGCAGATTGAAAGAGTCCTTTCCAAACCGAGATATATGTCTGGGAGAGTGGGAAACCGGCAATGTAGCTCCGCCGACGAAAAAAAAAAACGAAGAAAAAAAAGAACTCATGATCACGATAAGTGCCTTCGCAGAACCTCAGCGCGAGTACAGACTCTTGAAAAAAGTCGTGAGTCACGCGTGACTCTCTCATGAAACAGTACTCACGCACACCTCTGGAAAAGAGCATGAAAACTTTAATTCATTCTTTCAAATAAAGCTTCGTTTGTCGAAAGACGAATAGAGCAAAATTTACATGCATCTGGCTTTTGAAGTAACTTTTTCATCACTCTGTACATTAACCACTAAGTCACGAAACATAAGAAAATACAATATACATAGTTGGACTTGGATCAATTTCCATCTTTGCGGAACGACGACGTGCATTTGAGGCATTTCATCAAAGCGGTTTTTAAGGCAAAACTTCGCAGGGAGCATCCGAGAAGGGGATTGGATGATGGTGGAAAGTGAATGAAAGAGGCGGGATGGAGAGCTGAGGGTCGCAGAAGGGACGCAGCATCCCGTGCAGTCACTCCTCGCGCATTTCTCTCGTCTGTGTCCGTTCCACGTGTGAGTGTATGTGTGTGCGGGACGAGACTATATATACAGAAGACTTGTAATGCCGCCGTAGGCCCGCGCACGATGCGAAATACATCATCGACGAGCTGAAACATGAGGGAGCCTCGGACATTCACGTTCTTCGTGATCATCCTCTTTCTTGCATCCTCTTCAAATGGCTCTCTCGTGGTTCCGATGGGAAGATCCGTCGATATCACCTCTTCTCATCTTGGCATTGAAAAGGATGAAAACTGTCAAGTCAGGGTACTTCATCGAACTTACCCGCTTCTGGGACACGTGAGACCCGCGAGTTTCCCATGTGGGGGTCAAACTCGTTATATCCACGAGGGACGACCTCACATGCAATATGATTGGGTTTGGATATCTGTGGAAAAGGGGGATGAAGTTGCACCGAAGCGGATACTGCTACCGATTCACGTTGATTTCGTACCCTTGAAGATCGTGAAACATAATGAGGGCCTTCAAGTTCACTTTTCCGGTGGACTCAGTGAGGTCTTGACCTCAGAACACCTTAAATTCGACACCAACGGGCATACGTGTTCAATACATGTATCCGGTGACCCCAAG